AATCGTCGAAGAACTGTTTTACGTGTAAGGCTCGGCATCACACGATGCTTCACGAAGCCTACGTTCCTGCGTCGCCGTCTACCGAGGTCAGCGCGCTGTCCGCCGTGCGTTCTGCTGACGACCGCAAGGCGATCCTCCTCGCAACCGCGCGAGTGACCATCGCCGACCGCCATGGAGACCCTCACCCTGTGCGAGCCTTCATCGACCAAGGGTCTGAGGTCTCAATTGTCGCCGAATCTCTCGTGCAGCGCTTGCACCTGCAACGATCTCGCTCCGCCGTGCCGATTTTCGGAATCGGGGGGTCGAAATCCGGGTCAACCCGCGGGAAGGTGACGGTGAGCCTTACGTCCGTGACGACCGGAGCCACGATTACCGCCGTCGCGTTCGTGCTGCCCCGTCTTTCTCTCTACCAAGGCTCGGCGACAAAGAGCCCCGCCACGTGGCCCCATCTCAAAGGGCTGCCTCTAGCCGATGCGCAGTTTTCGGCTGGAGACCCGGTCGAGCTACTTCTCGGAGCAGAGGTGTGCTCCACCATCCTCGAAGAGGGCATTCGAAAGGGCGGACCGCACGCTCCGATCGCGCAGAAGACGGCCTTCGGATGGATTCTCTCCGGTGGCTGCGGTGCTTCAGCTCTCCACACGCGCGGCAGCTTCCAAGCGACGGCCGACCACGAGTTGGCCGATCTCGTGCGCCGCTTCTGGGAGCAAGAAGCAGAGCCTTCCGCTCCCGCCGCCCTCACGCCTGACGAACAGAAGTGCGAGGACTTCTACGTGAAAACGCACTCCCGCACGGAGACGGGGAGGTACGTGGTCCGATTGCCGTTCTCCAAGAAACCGACGAAGTTGTCGGAGACACGCCGACCGGCTGAACGCCTGCTCACCGCAATGGAGCGGAAATGCGAGAAGGACCCCCGGTTCGGCGAGCTCTACCGCCAGTTCATGCGGGAATACGAGGAGCTGAAACATATGGAGTTAGCTTCCGATTCTCCAGACTACAAGATCATGACCGAGTGCTACCTACCTCACCATGGTGTGCTCCGAGAATCGAGCACCTCCACCAAGCTCCGGGTGGTATTCAACGGGTCGCAGCTGACGACGTCCGGCGAGTCGCTGAACCAACACCTCCTCGTGGGCGCCAACCTGCTGCCCGCTCTAGCCGATGTACTGATGCGCTGGCGGTGGCACCGCTACGCCTTCGTCACAGACATCGAAAAGATGTACCGGCAGATCCTCATCCACCCGGACGACAGGAAATACCAGTGCATACTCTGGCGTTGCACCCTCCGCGCTCTCGTGTGCGTGTTCTGGCTCCTGACGGTGACGTACGGTCTCGCATGCGCGCCCTTCTTGGCCATTCGAACGCTGAAACAGCTGGCCCACGACGAACAATCGCGATATCCGCAGGGAGCAATCACATTGCGCGAGGACACTTACGTGGACGACGTTGTCTCGGGCGCGAACACTTTATCACGCGCGATCGCGAAACAAACCGAGCTCCGCGGGCTGTGCACGGCGGGCGGGTTCCCGCTTCGAAAGTGGGCCGCGAACGACGAGGAAGTGCTGTCGGGAATTCCTCCCGAGCACCGACTTCGCCACGAACCGCACTCGTGGGAAAGCGAAAGTTTTTCCACTCTCGGACTGTTGTGGCACCCGACCGAAGACACATTCGCGTTCGCGATTCATCCGCGCACTGTCACGTCGTTCACAAAAAGACGCGTTCTCTCGGAAACCGCACGTCTCTTCGATCCTCTGGGATGGCTGGCTCCCGTTGTGATTCGCGCGAAAATTTTGATTCAGTCCGCGTGGTTACAGCGACTGGATTGGGACGATCCACTTCCCTCCACCGACGCGGACTGCTGGAGGCTCTTCCTCGAGGAACTGCCTCTCCTATCTCAACTGCGCGTGAACCGCTGGCTTGGCAGCGGAGACGAGAACGCGCTGGTTGAGCTGCACGGCTTTGCCGACGCGTCCGAGCGAGGATACGCCGCGGCCGTGTATCTCCGCATCACTCGAGGCGGCTCCGTGGCACTCCACTTGCTGGCCGCGAAAAACAAGGTGGCACCGGTCAAGCTGGTGACACTACCGCGCCTCGA